AGCGTCGGGCTTCTCTCGTAATGGGTGAATCTAGAGGGGGAAAGAAAAGGATAGGAGATAGCAGAGAATGGTCCCGATGGGCCTCAGACGTGCGAGGGATCTATCGGGATTGAGGCGGGAAGAATGGGCGGGATAATTACCCCTGATGCCCACCGCTCGTTATATTTCATGGAAGCGAGGCGTCTCCTCTCCGACTGCTTAGGTGCATTACCCTCTCGCTCTCCATCTTCGCGTTACAGGCTTTGCTCCACGTTTAGAGAACAGAGTAATGTATACAAATTTATACTTAAAATGTTAAATATTTTGTAAAGAAAAAAACAATAGAGTACAATATATGTGACTCTTTTATCGAATAATTCGCCTGATTACACTCGATTTGGAACAATGTATAATAGATCCAAAATCAATTAAAATTCAAATATTTAGTGACTGGATCAAAGTGACTGATCGAGTCATACGAGCTTTAAGGAGACAAAGTTATGCGGCAAAATTTACACATTCACTGGTTCTAATTACACGTGCATTTGCAGCTGGCGACCTTCATGCCACTGGTCCACTACAACTGTTCAAAACATCTTAGGCTCTTCTTATGCGCCGTCTTCGCCCCAGTCTGCTCGGAACATGTGGCCATACCGGCTTGCAAGTCTCTCTGCCTTTCCGTACGAAGGGACTGCGAACCGGCCTTAACCAGTCTCGCGTTGCCGTGGCCGCACTTGTTGGATTGCAATCGTTTCCTTGATCGTGGTAAGTACTCGCTTGGCTTTGAATCGTCAATAAATGTCTTAGTAAGCAAAGATCTGTATCAACGATCTGTAAAATTTGAGCAGAATTTACTGTGCATTCAATAGCACAATCGCTCACTAAGCGATTAAGTAGTAGTCGAATGTGATTAATTCTTACTTTTAGATCCAACCAATCATTAAATTACTACTTAACCGTTTGGAGAGTGATTGCACTACTGGATGTACCCAGTAAATCAACATTAGCTATATATATATGATAAATATGTTGATTGGAGAAGACTTCCCCGATGATCTTGATATGTTATCAAAGTCATTAACCTGAGTGACTTCCAAGAGGTTTTAATTGTCGCCCGTTATCTATCAAAAATTTATTAGTAAAGAAAGTTTAAGAAATAACGTCTTATTTCTTTTATATACAATATTAGAAACTGCTCCATATCCTCTTTTCCAAGGGGCGTTGGACTTTCAATTGAACTTTCCAAATAAAAATTCATCCATTTTATACATATATACAATTGAAAATCTTTTTATCAAAATTAACATGAAAAATGATGAAACATCACAAAACTATATCAAATGGAAGCAAATTTGGAGAAAATTATAGCAGTTTGACTTTCGTAAGGAATCAAATTGGGTACTTCGGTCCTTTTAGTGTTAACAGATTCTAATATATTAATTCGTAACATACTTTGCAAAATCTGGTTTCAACTGATTTGAGTTGCGTTAAACTATGTTGCAGTCTGCTTGATTTTTTTATATCAATCTGTTGTCATATTTTGTTAGCAAACTTTGTCATATTTTTACCAGATAACAATCGCATACGGCAAATTCTGCATCATCTGTAGTTTTATTGTTTATAAAATTTGCAGCAAGAATATTAAATATGTATTTTTGACAAACTTATTGTATGGGAAATCAAAATCAGAAATTCTAATTTTGAATAGCAAAATTTAAAAAGGCTGATACATTGACATTTTCAATTATTTATGCAGAAATTTCTTAAAAAATCTCAACGACAATTAGAAATTTTAATACGTTTAAATCATGTAATGCTATAAATATACAATAATTTCATTAAGTATTTTTCGAGTTATATAAGGCTCGAAAGTACCTTCTTATGTCCCCCTCCGAATCATACAACTTTTGTTTGAAACATTTTTCCGTATCTACCATAGTTTTCGAGAAATCTTAATGCATTATTTGAAATGAGACACCCTGTATATAATAATTAAATTATATGTTAAAATAACCCTATTTTCCCTATATTGCATGTAGGAAATACATTGTGCGTGCAGCCGCCGGATGAAACGTTGGACAACACTAGTTCACCGACACTACCAACCGTTCAGCAACAATGGCCGGTGATGTACGAACGACCACCGCAAATATCTATAAGACTGCAACAGCAGCAACAGCATTATCAGTGTCCACCTCATTTTGTGCAGATATCCGAAATGGAAATGGTTAGAATAAGCAAATAAATAAGAGAAAGCAAAAATTGTATAGGAAAAGTATTCAAAAATTTAAATTAAATTTAATAATTTAAAAATAAAAATAACAGCAGTGTCAATTATATTTTATTTTTCAATATATACCCAGACAACACAAAATACTAAAAGACATCTTTTTATAGTTTTATAGTTTTTATAGTTTTAAAATCTTTTAGCTGTAGGCTAATCCAATCTTTTGAACACTTGTAAAGAACTCTCCATTAGAGGCAAACTTTTTTTCAGCCTTCTTTGAAGGCTTTACTTTATATATATTAATATCGTCGAATAATGTACATATAAATGGAGTAAAAAATCTTCAAAGAGAGAAAAAAGTTTACTTAAAAATATAGGAGACTATTGTTAAAAAATAATATGACTTACACGCACGCGCTGCTGTTTTTTTTATTTTTTATGTATATTATCGAATTATAAATTAAATTTGAACGCTCTTTGTATTTTTTTTCTCATGGTTTCTATTCTATTATTCTACAGATTTCTTGCGCACCGCGTTGTGGTACCGACGCATATTATCGCGCAGAAGACAAAAAATTCGCCGAGCGTTGGATGACTGGCTGGGCATGGCTGTGCTTCCTGTCAACGCTCTTCACTCTGTTGACCTTCTGGGTTGAGCCGTCCAGATTTCGTTATCCTGAGAGACCGATAGTCTTTCTGGCACTCTGCTATAATCTTCTCTCTATGACTTACATTGTCCGTGCTGTAGTTGGAGCTGACAATCTCAGCTGCGTCAGTCAGATTGATGGACCGAGTTACATTCCAGTAAGTAAATGAATTTTAGTAAATAATGCAGAAAAACATGGATTCATGTGTTCGTGAAGGTCAACAATAATAATTTATGGTACTAAATATTTATAATCTTATATTTTAATTTTAATATTTTCCCGGCAAATAAAAATTTTTTAAAAGTATTTTTTTTTAAATAGAATATATCAGAGCAATGCATTAATTCAGCTACTGCAATGATTCGACAACTCAAAAAACATATTATTTTTACTTACCACTCCAAGGAAAAAAATCAGCCTGTTTTTATCTATTATCCTTTTTTTATCTGCTTTTACTTATCTGCTGTAATCTACTTATTTATCTATGAATAGGTTCGCGATGCTCTGAAGAGCATTCCTTGTACAATTTGGTGGCTGGTCAGATATTATCTAGGATTAGCCAGCAATATGTGGTGGGCAGTGCTGTGTGGCTGCTGGTTGTTAAGCGCCAGGAATGAGTGGAGCAGCGAAGCTCTTTATGACATCGCGCCCTATCTTCATGCAGCCGCGTGGATTCTTCCAATATTTTTCACAGGAGGTAACTTTATACAATACATACATCGCATGGGTCTAAAATCTATTCACATTAAATGTCATGCCGGTCATCGGTAACCGACGGCTAACTGATGCTACTAAACACAAAAAATGCATCAAACTTGTAAAAAATAGTATTTCTAATTTTATAAATATTGTTAATATTAAAGTAATAATTCCGGTATCGTCGGAAAGACAAGCAAATTTCGGCATTCCACATGTTAATTATACAACATCGACGTTCAACTTGATTTTTAATTATGATACTTTTTAATTTGTATTTATACATTTTTTTTAATGTCGCGTGTCTCCGTGTAAGAGTGATGGATTTATAATCGATAAGTTGCAAGTTCAAATCCCGCATCTCATATATATACGAAAAACTTTCGTAATCCATACTGACTTAACAGGAAACACAAAGGATCTCTTTATAGATCTAGGTGACTCTAAGGTTCAGACATACATAGGCTACGTTTACACCGTGTGTTTAATATACAGGATAAACAAGGACGTCTATTGTATAGGCTGCGGCCTAAATGCACGGTGTAAACGTAGCCATAGAGACTAATATGGTCCGATCCTTACACACGCACTCTCATTACTGCTACTGTACATTCTTTTCTTATTGATCCGTTTCAATTATAGTTTTTTTTATTTGTGAGTTATAGTTTTTACATTTATGATTTCTCTAGTAAGAATCGCAAGAATATACGTGTCTTTCTTCATATAGGAAGTCTATTGTCGCGTAACGTAGTGGCAGACGAATTAACTGGATTGTGCCAGATCTCAGACGAGTCGGCACTATGGTTAGAAGTGTTGCCGCACGCCATGCTGCTATTATTGGGCTGCGTGTTTGGTAGTGTTGCTGGAAGCGCGCTGGTGCGCGTGCGGAGGGCCGTGCGCTGCGCTGGACGCAGCGCAATGAAACTGGAACGCCTGATGACGCGGCTAGGTATCTTCGCGCTGTTGTACGCGCTGCCGGCACTGGGTGGCCTTGTCTGTGTGCTGCAGGAGGCCTCGGTGAGGCCGCGGTGGCGAAAATTGGCATTGTTGGCCGCGTTGGACTGCCGCGCGGCGCAGAATTGCGCCCCAGGTCCGGTATACCGAGCCGCCGGTCTCGAAGTTGCCCTTCTCAGACTCTTCCTATCCCTCGTGGTCGGCGTCACCTCTGGCATGTGGGTATGGTCCGGCAAGACCTGCCGTGCTTGGAGCAGACTACTCGTTGCACCTAACAAATCCGCCAGGATACAAAACCCTTTTCAAGGCTTCAAGCAGGACGACAATGTCGCTTGACAACCTTGGATTTATCCCATTAATGCGACATTTAAAAAAAGTTGAAGTTTCAAATCTTGCGGATGTGCTTTAAGTATCTTATAGCGAATTCGGTCACTTGCACTACACTAGGTCAGTGCATACTAAAAGCTGCTTTACATGAAATTAACAAAGTTAAATGTAAAGTATATAAATATTTTAAACGATTAACTATAATCTACTAATGATATTGTCACGTTATTTAACAAAATATATATGTATCATTTCATTGTCAAAGTTGATTATATTGTATCACTGCATTGAGATATTTTATGTAAAGTGGCTTTTATATAATATGCACTGATCCAGTGTAGTGCGAGTGATCGAATTCATCATTAGACACTTTCTCAACATTGTGTGCGCGCACGTGTATGCGTGTGTGTAGGAACGATTTTTGTAAATTATGCATCCCTGTTGCAATTGTGATCTTTCTTAAATATCGTAAACGCGATATATCGCATCGTAATTTTTATATATGTATTATACATTTGTTCAACTACGTTTTTGTAATATTAAAAATCTTTGATAAGTTCAGAACAGTGAAAGCTGACCAAATAATAAAAAAATATTAGTTGTTAGAATAAAATTCGGTTTTCAAAGATAAAATGCCTTCACGCGCGCGAAACAGAAAATTATATCAGTTTTTATTGTGCGTCAGTCGAATTGTTCGCATAACTTAAAAGAATTAAAGAATAAGTATATAATATTAATAGCAGGCGCGATTTTAAATCGTATGCGATTTTGTGATTAAAAAGTCATTATACATATATTGCACTGCGCTTTAAGAAAATCACAGTATATGCGAATATCTCTCTCTTTCTGTGTGTGTGCGTGCGGAATATTTTGGGGAAGAGATTAATTAGAATAGTAGTACATATTATAGAGATATGCTCGTTTTTGCTTCGTTTTGGAGAAAATTGTAAAAAAGACAAAAAACGTAGTTGCTTCGTTCTTGCACTGCCTCTGAAGTATTATCGTCGCTGAAATCATGCACGAAAACAATAATAATAATTATTTGTGTGGAGAACCCTGAAGCAGGAAGTTTATTCATCGTTAATCAACTCTAGAGAACAATTGAGAAATCGAATCAAGGCTGCAGTGCATCAAATATCATCAGATCAGTGTTTGACTGCAACACGAGTTGTTCGTACTAGATACAACTTGCTCCTCATACTTGCAACTCATACTTGCATTGCTGCAAGAGGTCAACATTTTGAACAATATCTACATTAAGCAAATGAATAAATACAATGTGAATAAGTAATGAGAAAGTACAAAAATAAAAACTACGTTTCATCTTTTTTGCAATTTTCTCTAAAACGAAGCAAAAACGAGCATATCTCTATAGGACTTTTTTTCTTATAGTTCATCGATCCCCTACATGCTCCCGAAGTTTTGACATTTAAATTCTAAACCCCCTGTATATATGTATTGTAGCGTTCCGATAGTGCATCGCTAATTGATTGATTCAAAATAAAATATTATATTTTCATTGATAAAGCAGTGAAAAAATTACTAGGCACCGGCCGATGTGAATGAACGTGCGTTAATGCGGGATCCTATGTTGTATATATTGTAAAAATAATGTGTGCCTGCTTCTAATGTATATTTTAATCCTTAATTAATTAAAATAGTCGTTAAACTCATTTTCTGATAATAATGAAAGCGTATTTTGATGAATATACCAATGAATACAACTTTAATAAACGTCAATCATTTTTATATGTATATTATTATTTTTTAACTATTTTCAAATGACGCAATAGCGGCGCAATGCCAATGTATGTACTAATCAAATACATGCGCCAGTCACAACTTTGGCAATCAGTATTGGCCTAATATCGATTAACAGAATGTTGACCAGCAATTGGCAATTATAGATTGGCTAAGCGTTGGCTTTGTTGTAATATCGGGCTATTTTATATAAGCGTAATTTCGCATACTATTTTTACATTGTATTTGATTTTTACGTTATTCACTTAAGACAATTCTCGTCCGAAGCCTTCAATTACATCTTTAACAAAATTTGCGAGCGAATTGCACTTACAATTAGTAAGAGCGTTTTTGCAACATTTCAAGTTGTCATATCTTAAATTTTATGTTTAACCGGCGTTTTGTTATACTTGCATTATACTGGTTTTAATAATTATGGATATTTGAATTTGTTAAATATTGAGAATGATCCAATAAAGGGAAAACGTTTGTTATTATATGTTATACAAGTTTTATTGGTTTAATAATTGAGCACTAACACTTACATAACTCTGACTCATAACTTCTCATTTTATTTTCAGTTATTCTAATTGAACCTTGTACTATTACTTTAATTTTAAATACATTTTTTTTGTACTGTTGAAAGATTTTGTTTTGGTAAGAAAGACAATCGTAGTTCAAAGCGAGGGTCCAGCACCATGCGCGGCTCGTGCGAAGCTATTGCCGCTTGTAGTAAACATCTCGTATGTAAACCTAGCAATCGTGATTATTAGGTGGCCGTTTCTCACCGCGCTTTGATTTGGTGGTAACGAATTTTTAAACATTGTCGGTATTATTTCGAAATATTTACAATACATAGCACAACATTTTATTGGCATATTATCTGTACATGTAGTATTTATTTGACGTGTGATATTGCTGTAAAGATGCTATTAACTGCGGATAGCATGCAGATGATGACAAGTTGTCTTCAAGTTGCCACAATTTGCTGACAATATGCTGTTATTCGCTGATAACAAATTGAAAACACAAGCTGTCATCGAGAAAATTGATGCTGACATGTTGCCATCAATTTGTCATCGTAAGAATTCGAATTCCACTGAGTTCAACGCGACAGACATAACGCTGTCTCATCTTGTCCTGAGTTTGTTGAAATTGGTTGCTTCAACAATTTTTGGCAATATGTCAGCAAACTCACTGCATTTAACTATCAGGATATTTTATAATTCATTAAATTTTATTAAATATCAATTTTGCATATATTATTATTTAAACTTATACTTAAATAATTATGTAAAAAATTAAAAAACCTTTTGTCAGAATGACACTACAAAGTATTTCAATACAAAATTTTTCATCAAATTCCACAATGCTGATACTCCAAGTTCTAAGGTGTTAAAGACTCAGGTGGTCCACTCCAATGAGGTCAAAAATTCCAAACATAATATGAAAATTCTAGGTTTCACACGCTTTAAAGTCTTCCAATATTTGCGAAAATCCAAGTCCTAAAAAGTGAAACTCCAGATCCCACGACGTCAAAACTTCAAGTATTACAATATCGAATTACTAAATCTTACAATGTCAAATTAATGTCAAATTAGAAACGTCGTGCAGTTGTAGAATTCACGTTGAAATTTCAAGGTTATAATATTTACCTTTGCAATAATGTTGAGAATTCAAATCTCATATTTAAAATTTATATCTTATAACGTTGAAAATCTAAACTTGCTAGTTTAAACTTATTGTAAGTTCCACAAAAGGTTCATTATCAGACAATATTGACGATATCAATTCTATAATAATACAAGTCTTAACTTCACGATATTGAAATTTATGTTGGAAATCTTGTTAAGATTTGAATCTCGATTTCAAATAAAATTTGATTAATAAACAATAAATATAATAATTGCTCGAATTTGCACAGCAATACAAAAATCCTAATAATGATCGGAATTATTGAGCAAGGAATTAGGTATAGAATGGCCTTTTTCTGCGATGGAGTCCCATGATATGATCCTCTCCTATGATAAGATTCCAAAATAATCTTCTGCGATAAGATTCCACAATGTTCCTCTTCTACGACGGAATTCTGTGATGATTTTCTTCTACAAGAGTTCCATGATGTAATCCACTTCTGCGATAAGGTCCCACGATGATCCTCTTCTGCGATGAAATCCCGCGATGATCCTTTATGTGATACAAGTTCTGTGATGATCTTTCACGAAGGTCTTCTTCTGCAATGGAATTTTATGATCTTGTATGACGAAATCCCGTGATGATCCTCTTCTGCTACAGAACCCCATGATGTGATGATCCTCTTCTGTAATAAATAGTCCCACGATGATCTTCGGCGATGAAATCCCACGATGATCCTTTTTGCTATAAAGCTCTATGATGATCTTTCACGATGATCTTCTTCTGCAATGGAATTTTATGATCTTGTATGACGAAATCCCGTAATCATCCTCTTCTGCTACAGAACCCCATGATGTGATCCTCTTCTGCAATAAATAGTCCCACGATGATCTTCGGCGATGAAATCCCACGATGATCCTTTTTGCGATAAAGCTCTATGATGATCTTTCACGATGATCTTCTTCTGCAATGGAATTTTATGATCTTGTATGACGAAATCCCGTGATCATCCTCCTCTGCAACAAATAGTCCCACGATGATCTTCGGCGATGAAATCCCGCGATGATCCTTTTTTGTGATAAAATTCTGTAATGATCTTTCACGATGGTCTTCTTCTGCAATGGAATTTTATGATCTTGTATAACGAAATCCCGTGATGATTCTCTTCCACTACAGAACCCCATGTGATCTTCTGCAACAAATAGTCCCACGATGATCTTCTGCGATGAAATCCCGCGATGATTCTTTTTTGTGATAAAATTCTGTGATGACCTTTCACGATGGTCCTCTTCTGCAATGAAGTTCTATGATGACCTTGTATGACGAAATCCCGTGATGATCCTCTTCTGTGACAGAATCACATAATGTAATCCTCTTCTGCAACAAGGTCCCACGATGATCCTCTTCTGCGATGAAATCCCGCGATGATTCTTTTTTGTGATAAAATTCTGTGATGACCTTTCACGATGGTCCTCTTCTGCAATGAAGTTCTATGATGACCTTGTATGACGAAATCCCGTGATGATCCTCTTCTGTGACAGAATCACATAATGTAATCCTCTTCTGCAACAAGGTCCCACGATGATCCTCTTCTGCGATGAAATCCCGCGATGATTCTTTTTTGTGATAAAATTCTGTGATGACCTTTCACGATGGTCCTCTTCTGCAATGAAGTTCTATGATGACCTTGTATGACGAAATCCCGTGAT